TTTTGCATGTGAATAGTCAGTTTTCCCAGTACTATTTGTTGAAGCGACTGTCCTTTCCCTGTTGAGTGGTCCTGGCACCCTTGTCAAAGATCATTTGACTATACCTAGAGTATACGCAAAGGCAGTTGTGTCTGTGGTATTTTGGAACTTATTTTCCCACTATTTATATATTCCTAAGATTTAGCCATATGGTGTCACTCTAGTAAGTGACCACATTTGGATAACCACCATCTAGGACATTATAACATCCTGGAACTTCTCCTTGTAGACCCTCCCAATCACTGCCTCCTTCCTCATTCCCAGAGGTACTATCTCTCTTGACTTTAACACTATAGATTCATTTTGCCCTTTTCCTTTCTTTTCTTTTCTTTCTTTTTTTTTTGGCAGCACCGTGTGGCATGCAGGATCTTAGTTCCAACCAGGGATTGAACCTGTGCTCGCTGCATTGGGAGCTCGGAGTCTTAACCACTGGACCACCAGGGAAATCCCTCGTTTTGAACTTTTTACAAATGAGTGTCACAGTATATATTGTTTTGTGTCTGGCATCTTTGGTTCAATATATTATATTCTTTTGTGCATATTGCAGTGCCTCATTCTTTTTCATAGCTGATTAGGATTCTATTGTATGATTATACCTCAGTTTATTCATATTCTCCTTATGGATATTGGGTTGTTTCAGGTTTAGGGTCATAATGAATAATGATGCTATGATCATTTGTGTGTGTGTATAAGTTCATATATGTATACACATTTCTCTAGTATATACTTAGGGAATTGATTTTATTTTTTTAGAATGAAATTTTTATTGAGATAACAAGATTCATATGCAGTTATAAAAGAAATAATAGAGAGATCCTTTGTACTTTTTACCCATTTCCTTGTACTGGTAAAATTTTGCACAACTGTAGTTGTACAAAACAACTCAAGATATTGATACTGATACAATCCACAGATATTATTCTGATTTCCCCAGTTTTGATTACAGTACTCAACATGCAAATTACATTTAACTGTTGGTATAGAATGGCACACTGCCACTTCCCTAGGACATTTAATTCAGACAGAATTATCCCTGGGCAACCGTTATCTTTGTATCTGCCAGCAATTGCTCTATCTTCCTTCTTATAACAATATGTAAACTCTCATATCCAGAATAACTGGGTCTTTAGTTCAACTGAGTGGTTACATACAGTACAGAACCATTGATTTCTTTTTTTTCCCCTGGTGGATTTGATATATTCTGAGATCCAGATCAAGAATCTCCCATATTTAACCTATCTTTGGTCATCCTGAAGGCACTTGAGAATCCAGCAGTATATCAGGGTCATCAGCTTTCCCTGGACAGTATTAAGAGATATAGAAGGTTTGCTAAGTCTGTCCTGGTCCTGAGTATTCACTCTGAAAAAGAGTTTATTTGAATAAAGTTTTGACACATTTGCTCTTTATGTCATTCTGTAGGCTCAAAATGAACAATACAGAGACTTCTTTTGCTCATACATAGTTTCTAAATTTTCAGTAATGAAAATTATTAGTTTTTTAAAGGAAGTTATAAAAATACTAGCACATAAGTTAAGCATAAAAATACAGGGTATTCGGATCCCAAGAAAACGGGAGTTTACTGTGGTCTAGAAGTCAGGCTGATTGCACATGATAATTAGTTATAATTGGCAATGTTTCTTCCAAAGGTTGAATTTTTGCTAAGTTTTTATATATTATCACTAGCTTGAGTTTCCCCCCTTCTCTGCCTTTCATTTCTACAGGCACCAGAAGGAAATTTAAAAACATTTAAAAGATAGCTCTTTCCTTATAAGTCACCCAGCACACAGGCCTCGTTTCTTCTAGTTTCAAACATAAAAAAGAACCTGGGTCAGACAAGAATGATCCTTGTTGCATACGCACCAGTTCATGCATTTTCCTTTTTATTCTGTGAGTCTCCAGTGCAAACAAAAGTTAAAAGGTTAAGGACTACTCCAAGTTCCCAACAGCTAATCCCTGGTTGACCTTCAAAAAGAGGTCTTTAGGGCTTCCCTGGTGGCACAGTGGTTGAGAGTCCGCCTGCCGATGCAGGGGACGCGGGTTCGTGCCCCGGTGCAGGAAGATCCCACGTGCCGCGGAGCGGCTGGGCCTGTGAGCCATGGCCGCTGAGCCTGCGCGTCCGGAGCCTGTGCTCTGCAACGGGAGAGGCCACAACAGTGAGAGGCCCGCGTACCGCACACACACACACACAAAAAGAGGTCCGTAATTCATTTTTGAATATGCCTTCCAAGTGGAGGCGTTTGGCCATGTGCTCCTCTTTGCATCACCTGGTGCCCTCTGGTGATCTGTTAGCTCCAAAACTTTTCACTTTGTCTTGAAAGCTTTCTTGGTATCTGTGGTGGGCATGGCCATGGCTGCTGCAGTCATCTGTGTCTCCATCATTCCTGATTGGTCATTGGCATTATCCCACATTTGGAGAGTGAATGCTCTGAAGCCCAAATACACAGCAGAAGTACCAGGATGCAGCTATTAATAATGGGTAGTTCGATTCCTTTCTGTAGCGTAAGCTTACATAGGGTCATTGGAAATAGCACTTTGTGATAAAGCCTAAGAATGTCATGTTGATCCATCCACCAATAAGAATCACAGTGAGAACATTTGTGACATTCTCTTTCATCACATCTGTGAGCATCGTGGGATCAGTTGTAGGAGAAGGTGGTATTATTTTCCTTTTTTTTTTTTTTGAAAACTCCATCCTCTGGGTTGTTGAAGTAATATTTTTATGTCAAGGACTGTTTGGGAATATAATTTCCATTTTCCCTGAGGACTGTGCTTTGAATTAATTAATTAATTTCAGATATTTGCTCCTGGTTGAGCTTCTTGTCACTCTGCAGTAGGATAGACACCTAGTGGTGGATCACACCCCCAGGTGATGATAAAGATGGGTTGGACCACCCAGGCTCATGTTGGAGTTGAGCAGCCCACTGAGAGCCAGTCCGACCAGGGTCACGGGGCTTCTCCTCCCTGGGGCACTGGGGCTCCTCTCGGGATTCTCCTCAGGGACTTCTCCTGTCCTGCAGCCTGGGCATTATCTTGGCTCAGGGCTGGCCTGGGCTCTGCTGTGGCCTCAGGCCTAGTGCATTGCCTCTGGTGCTATTTGATTTTAAATAATGTCTGAAGTTTATAGAGTTCTAAAACAGTAACGAAGGGTTCCCTGAAATATTTTTGCTTGCTCTAAACCATCTGTATTAAGACCACATTTTGGAGTGAGAGTTATTTTACTGAACCCTTTTTATTGACCACTCTGACCCTCCTTGGCCTCTATGAAAAATAAAAAGCAGGCTATAAAACAGTATATACCATATGAACTCATTTTTATGAAGACACAAAACCTTTCATCACTGCCTAGTACATTAAATTGTAAGTACTCAATAAAAATTGAAGCATAATAATTGAAATGATTGAATGGACAGGAAAAACAGTTGTATGTACCAAAATGTTAACTAACTGTACTTATTTCTGTTATAAAGCTGTAGTTGATTCCTTATTCTTTTTTTCCCCATACAGTAGGGAAAAAAAGTATAAAAGAGTTGCTTATTTATTTCTTTATGATGGGAGATTGGTGAAAATGAAAATACTTTGTAGTTGTAGAAAGAGCTATGTAGGGAGTCATAAACTCAGCCATTCTCTGGAATATCTCAAACCACTAAGACATTTTGTTATCCTTTTACTCTGAAAAGGCAGCATAATAGTTGGGATGTGTCATAAGGAAAAGATGTCGTCCATAGTTTAGGTACATAGAGCAAGTTGGGACGCAGTTCCAAAAATAATAGCTTACCAGGGCTGAGAGGGTTCAGATGTAACAACAGATGAGTGGCAGCTGTCTAACTCTTGCTTCAAAACAGCATGCTTAATGCTGGGGTGGGAGACCCATCACTGGGTAGAGACCTTTAGGGGGCCAAAAATAGAAGTTTCCTTATCCTCACAGAGCTCAGAGGCAAGTGACTGACTGGGAGGTTACACTTAGAGTTTTTGTGCTTCTGTTGAATTCATCTTTAAAATAGGGATGATAATATTATTCCTGCTTAAAAGGTTGTTATAAAAAGTAACTACTTAAAAGCATTACTTGATATTCCAAAAATATAAATCTATATATGTCTAATAGTGTAAATTCTAAACTTGCTAGTTGTAAGTAAATGTTTATTGAGTGTTTAAGTCAGGGACTGTGCTAAATGCAATTTTTAAAAAATTATTTTCTGAGTAGGTAATACTGTACTTGCGAAACCAATTTCGGTAGGGTGTACAGTGAAAAGTCTTCCTTGCACCTGTCTCCGAGCCACCAGGTTCCCTTAAATGTTTCCGGAGAGATTTTATGCATATGCATGCATATGTGTATCTGCTTTTTAAAATGATAGATGGTAGCACATTATACTAACTATACCTTTCTCTTGTTGAGTACAGAGTATTTCCTATCCTTATCTCATATAGTACTCACAATAGTAAAGATAGGTACTCATATTGTCTCCATTTTACAAATAAGGAAACAAAGACATCTCAATTTCTTAATAACTTATCCAAGGTATATAGCATGTAAGTTATAGATAGAATCTACTTTCTAGGTATAGAGGCAATTATGTTGGTATTATTTATTTATTTAGCTTTAAAGTTTGAAACCATTTCAAACTTACAGAAAAGTTGCAGGAATAGAATAATATTCTTTCTTTGGCTTTCCTAACCTTGATATTTTTGGAGGTCACAGCTTGTCGTTTCATAGAATCTCTCTCAATTTGCGATTGTCCTAGGTTTCCTCACAGTTAAACCCACATTATGCATTTTTGGCCAAAAGACACAGGAGTTCCGTGTGTTCTCCCCATTGCATCCTGTCATGGGGTATGCAGTGCTGATTCGTCCCATTGCTGCCATTAAAGGGAGAAAGGGGAAAAGAGGAGAGGCGAGGAGGAAGTAGCTTACATTAGTTAGCTTTTCAGACAGCCCTCTCTTCAGTAAATATCTTTTCCTTGTAGCATCCTGGCGGAGAAGAGGTTCTGCTGGAACAAGCTGGTGGAGATGCAACTGAAAGTTTTGAAGATGTAGGCCACTCCTCTGATGCCAGAGAAATGCTCAAACAGTACTATATTGGTGATGTGCATCCGGTAAGAATTAGCTGAGCTCTAGGAGTGCTTGTAGAGAGAGGAAGCTATCCAACAGCCACAGATCATGATGAGGGAATGAGTTACTAAAATGGAAATTCGTTCAACCCAGCCATTAGGCTAAATTTTCTCCAAAATCATCTAGCCTTACTGTGCTAAGATAGAGCTTCTTGTCTGTAAATCAACACATATAGTGTCTATGAAAAGGAACTGATTTTGGAGGTGGGATTATTTTTGATTGATTTTTTTGTAATGCAGTTAATATCTCTACCTAAAATAGTAGTTTGGTCTTGCAAATTCATTGCTAAAAGTGGTAACTATGGACTTTTAAAACCATACCATTCTAACAAGGGACCCTGATGCGCTCAGAGTCAGGGGTGCAGGGGTGGGGGAGTGGGCAGTACCCTTCTGTAGACCCTGGCATCTCCCAGGGAATTACTACCAGAGTGTAGTCTCATGTTCCAAAGTTAGAAATAAGCAGGTAATGAGAGTTCGTTTAGATGTGTCTTAAAATATTATTTGTTTTCCTCTTTAAACAGAATGACCTTAAACCTAGAAGTGATGGCAAGGTAAGAAGTCCTCTATTTCTCTTGTGTCTTTCAAGTGTTTATATTTCTATTTACTCAAATAAAATTGCTTTTTCTTTTTAAAATGTATTGTAACAAGAGAAGTGTTTACTTTTCCCCCAAACAAAAATCCTGTTTTTCAGGAATTTGGACTCAGTACCATCTCAGGAAAAAAGAATAGCTGAGTCTTGAACAGTAGGAACATTTTGTTCATGCTTCTATTCGCTTTTCTAAAAAACTGAAACTCTAAAGCCATGCCCCATATTGCTTTGAAAGAAATTAGTTTATAGGTTCAGTTGTAGAAAAGTATTTCTTATTCTTACATTTAATAGTATAGATGATAATAATTGCTTCTGTGTTGGAAAAAGAATTGGAAGGTCGGTTTACTCTTGCAAGTCTTAGAATGAGTTGTAGACTGGAACAATTGAGTAATTGACTGGAACAGGCCTTTCTGTCCCTATTCCCCTATGGTGTAGGCTCAAATAGGCCTACACACCCTTCCCATTCACACAGTGATACCACAAAAACAAAAGATTAAATATTTGAAAACCTTAATGTGTACTGCATAATGTACCAGGAAGAAAATATGAAAGCCTTTTTGCTTCCCACAAGCTGGATGGTTCATCTCCCTTATTCCCCCACTTTTTTCTCGCTATTTTCCTTGACTTCCCCTACCCTCTAATTTAAAGGGACAGCAGTTAGTTGTCACCCAGAACATCATGGAGGCAATGCTCCTTCCTTTTTTCCTCCTAGCTTCTTGCTTCCCTTTCCTCATTGAGCTGGTATTACTGAACTCATATGACACAGCAGTTCAAGTTGGCCTATACACAAGAATTCTTTCAGTTCAAGAGATTGCTTGATGGTATCTGCCACCTGTTGCTCTGCCATCCAGAGTGCATGTGTAAATTAACGCTTCCGTCTTGCTGCACTCTGCTACTCTGAACTGTTGAATTGTTTATGAAGGGGGCATGAAATAGTTCCTTAAATGCTTTGTGAGCACTGTTGGTTTGTTTGTCCTCCCCTCCTAACACATGTACTATCCATTCTTGAATCTTCACTTGTGTAATTAAGGTAAAATTTGAACTAAGCATGGCTTGTTTGGTATATTGAACATGTCCAGAAACCATTGCTTTCAGAGGTCAACATTTGATTCAAGGGATGTTCCCATTTGTACAAGAGATGCACCTTGTATCCAGGAGGCATAACCCACTTCTGCACAGCACTGTGAGAACACCCATTATATTTAAGACAAATAAAATTGTGGGGGAGTTATAATGTCTAGAAGTCTACAAATTGCTTCTTGTTGCTATTTTTCTTCCTTGGTAGTATAGTATGTAGTTAAGACCATTCTTAGGAATGGAGAGCAGTGTTTTTCAAATTCTATTCCTTGTACCACCTGTATTGTAATCTCTTGGCATGTTTTCTGAAATGCGCATATTTCCTGGGCTGCCATTACTACTACTGATTCATGATCTCTGGAGGTGGGAATTTGCACTTAACGTAACCCAGATAGCCAAGCACCAGACTGTGCTGAATGACATGCCCATCTTTTCATTTAAAAACTTAGGGAACTTTAGTTCTCTTCTGTGGAAAGCACTGTCTGCCTTCTATATATAGGCCAAAGAATTAACTAGAGATGTCTCAGATAAATTAAAACTGTTGAGCCTTGGACTTTTTGTAAGAAATAAAGAAAAAGAAATCCTTTTAGCTGGTGAGATTTGGTGAAATTCTCTAAAAATTCAGAAGTCTCCAAATGTAGTTTGGCCCCAGCCTGGCTTAAAGAGTGCTTAAAGGCAGTGTTTTCAAGGCTGTTTTTATCATGTCTGCTATACCCAAAGGATAGTCTCCATTAAATAGAGAGTTTGATTATTGAGTGTTTCCAGTCACACTGCTGTACTTCAGGCAGATCCAAGACCACCTACATAGGTTGTCATAGAGCTATAGTCCAGCCTGATTTTAGTTCCAGGAACAAATTCTTGATCCTCCACATTTATTTCTTACATGGGTTTTAAAGAGGCACTTCTGTGTCTAGGCTGCAGGTGTCTCTTTTCTCAATTTTTTTTTTTTTTTTTTTTTGCGGTACGCGGACCTCTCACTGTTGTGGCCTCTCCCGTTGCGGAGCACAGGCTCCGGACGCACAGGCTCAGCGGCCATGGCTCACGGGCCCAGCCGCTCTGCGGCATGTGGGATCTTCCCTGACCGGGGCACGAACCCGCGTCCCCTGCATCGGCAGGGGGACTCTCAACCACTGCACCACCAGGGAAGCCCTCAATTTTTTTTACATTCACCATGAAGAAATACATGTAAAGTTCATTTCATTAATACTTTCCTTTCTTTCGGTTAAGGTTTCAGAACCTCTGTGAGGAAGTGATTTTTTTTTAATGCCTAATGTCTTCTGCCTTATGCGACAGAGTTTTCATTTTCATTCTTCCTTTATTTTTCTGCTTCTCTCCTCCCTCCACAGCTCCAAGCTCCATGTCTCTTCCCTGCCTGAAACTACCTCTCTACCCCCTCAAAAAAACTTTTTTAAAAAAAGCACCCAAAACATGCTATTCTAGAGTGTAAATCAGAAACTTTCCCAGTATTTTGGAAACTACCTTTCATACTGCTTTTGCTATGACATGAGTAAATAAATAATTGATGGTCACCTTGTTTCCTTGTTAGATTGATAATGCCTGGGGTTCAAGACCCTGAAATGTTTGTTACAATACTAAAACTTAAAAGCTTAAAAACTACAGATCTGGCAACAGATGTTTTTCTTACCTGCTTCAGTCAAAGATAACTAACTAGAATTAAAAAACCTTTTTGTCTCTAAATCTCTTCCTGGCTGGATTAGTCCCCATGCTGAGAGCCATCAGTCTTCCATTCATACTTAACACTTTTCTGGTCTGCTTTGAGTTATGGAAACTCACCTTAGAAACAGTGTTTTCTGTGCCAGTTTGCCTGCCTGCCTACTGTGCTAAAGTAACCTAGACACATTTGTGGTCCATGAGGTCTCTCTTTGGATTATGGGTTTACTTCTTGGTTAACATTTTTATCACTCAGTCTACCTTCAGTTCAGGAGATAAGGAACATACAAATGCTAACCTGACTAAAAAAAGTGGCACCATTTCATTCATTTATTCAACAGATATTATCTAGGTGACAGTTCAACTGCTTCACTGGTCAAATCTCATTACGGTGCATAGACCCAATAACCTGACCATTTTTCCATTTAACTTTTTTGAATGGGTAGTTTGTGGTGTACATGGTTAAAAATTCAAATAGTACAAAAAAGTGTACTATAAAAATGACTGCCATCGGGCTTCCCTGGTGGCGCAGTGGTTGAGAGTCTGCCTGCCGATGCAGGGGACACGGGTTCATGCCCCGGTCCGGGAGGATCCCACATGCTGCAGAGCGGCTGGGCCCGTGAGCCATGGCCGCGGAGCCTGCGCGTCCGGAGCCTGTGCTCTGCAGCGGCAGAGGCCACAACAGTGAGAGGCCCGGGTAATGCAAAAAAAACAAAAACAAACAAACAAACAAAAAAACCAAAACAAACAAAAAAAACAAAACAAAAATGACTGCCATCGCCAACTCTGTCTCCCAGTTCCCCTTCTCCTGAGGTAACCAGCTACCATTTTCTTGTTTACTCTTCCAAAGAGATTCTGTGCATACATAAATATAAATAGTTGGATGGATGGATAGATAGACTGATTGATCAGTAGACAGACCAACCATCCCTTGCTTTAAAAATCTCATAGGTGCTATTCTGCCCCTTCTTTCTAAAAAATTTTATCTTAGTGATTGTTCTTTATCCATTTATAAAGATCTCTCTCATTCTCTTTAATACTTAGTATTCCATAGACAAAAGCTTTGATGAGATGACATTTGCTATAACAGGATTTGATCTGTTTCTTTTTTTTAAGGAAGTAAGATTGTCTCTATAAAGGCTTAACATGGTTTTGTTTGTTTGTTTGTTTTTTTGGTTGCGTTGGGTCTTCGTTGCTGCACATGGGCTTTCTGTAGTTGTGGCAAACAGGGGCTACTCTTCATTGCGGTGGCTTCTCGTTGAGAAGCACGGGCTCTAGGCACGCAGGCTTCAGCAGTTGTGGCACACAGGCTCAGTAGTTGTGGCTCATGGGCTCTAGAGCGCAGGCTCAGTAGTTGTGGCACACGGGCTTAGTTGCTACGTGGCATGTGGGATCTTCCCGGACCAGGGGTCGAACCCACGTCCCCTGCATTGGCAGGTGGATTCTTAACCACTGCGCCACCAGGGAAGTCCCTTAACATGTTTCTTAAACTTCATTTTTTAACTTAAAAAATTTAACTTTTGAAATTTAGTAAACTCCATCTATGTTAGATTTATAACTTGCATTTATAACTTGCAACTTTATAATTTATAACTTGCATTTAAAGGCAGATACATTTTTTTCTCCCAGATGCTACAGACTTTTGTTATACAGTTTTCTGTTACACGTACGTAAAGTATTATACATACATAACATTCAGTTTACCTTCTCTTTTGTGGGAGGGAAACTAAAAAGAATGCATGCTTTATAGTTATGTAATGTAGTTAGTTGGTTGCATCATACTAAAAATTTCCTTTTAAGAATTGTTAAATATTCCTATCATATCTACAACCTAATTTATTAACGTTTAAAATGGGTATGCAGATGCCCTTTAGATGAGTAGTGCTTACTATTTACCAAAGAATTTTGTATGATGGTTTCATTGTTGCCTGTTTTTTTTTCCCCTAACATTTGTATTTTGTAACGTAATCTTTTGAAATAAAGCATAGAATGTAATGGCAGGATCACTCTTGAAAGACAAAATACCCTTTCTGAGGAATCTGAAGGCTTAGTGTCTTCTTGTAATGCTTTATTGAGAAATGATGTGTAGTTTTGGCAAAGCAAGATGTCAGAAGGACAAGGTAACATCTTTTGCAAGTCAGCCCTCCAACGTTATAACAAGTTTTTCACTTCTTAGGTCCCAGTAGAAATTAGTGTCTGAGTGTTTTAATTTTTTTTCTTCAGTGATGTCTTATGTATCTTATAATGGGTTCTTGAGAGAGTTGTATAGAAATTTGTTTTAGCAGGTGTTTTTCATCTTTGAATTTGCCCTTATGTACAGGGAAATATTACTTATATGACTGGGCTGACTCTAGGGATTTATGCTTTACAAGACAGTAATTGTTAAACTGTATTCTCATCTAGAAAGCGATTTTAGTACATTAGAGCGTCATGCGAAGGCTGTCCTCAAGATCCACACCACATGGCCATGAAAATATTGAAATCATATACTTTCAAAACTCAGACTTTTTAGGTTGTATGATGAACCTAAAACTAAAATTTATGTAGTGTTAGCTAATGTTACACAGTCCATTGTATTATGGGGGGAAGGTCCTTTGCAGTAGTGTTTGAAGCCCAAAGTTCCCAAGTTGTTTTTCATAAGTTTCTGGCCACGTAGAAACCAAATTATTCTAAATAAAAAGCTGCAAAAACTACCAGACCACCCAAATACTCATTGAATTTGCTGAAGGTGTCCTATGGTTTAAAATCCACTTTTCCAGTTTTAAGTACTTGGAATCCTCTTGGAATGGCTAACATTCAATTTAGGAATTAAAACATAAGCTTCTTATATACCTTACATTTCCCTTTTATTTAAACCTCTGAAAGTCTAAGTATAAACTGTTTAGGCTGAAGATACACGTAACTCTCTGTCTATATGTTTGAATGCATCAGAACTATAATTTTGGCACATTGCTTCCTACGTTTATGTTCTGGTGACAAAGTACACCATTCCTTAAGCATGTGTTCTCCTCCCATGTTTTTTTCATAAACAGGGTTCATAGTGAAATCACCCCCCACTAACCCCCAAATCCCTTTCCATATGTTTGCCAATTATGACATTTCTTTGTCATTCTTTTAACCACATCAGAGAGGGTTGGTACTCACGGCACACTGTCTCGGAAGAGTATCTGGAAGAACACACCTTTATGTACGTGCTGAAACATAGAAACATCTCTGTGTGGTTGTGCTCCTTCAGTCTTCCTTCTTGGATGTGGGAGAATGGTATTAACTTCTCTCTAATCTTTAAAAGTCTGCTCTTGTAGGTTTTGCTAAAATGCCCTTGGGTCGGAAAATTGTGTTGAGTTAATTGAATATGACTTTAGAATTCAGGTTCATCTGATTTGAGCCTTTCAGTTCACAGGTGAGGAAACTGATTGAGGATATTAGACATAATTTCAGTTATAATCAGCTTTAATAAAAAGGTTACTCAAATATTATGAAATATTTCCTCTTGTTCTACAAAGTCCATGTTTAGTATTCATATGTATATAAATATATTTATTTACTTATTTATTTTATGACGGAATTAAAGGCTTAATGAATCTTGAACTTTAGGAACCACTGTATTTAAACAGTTAATTTCTGTTAATTTTGGACTAAAATCAGAGTAGACTTAAAGCAATCTGGTTGTTTGGAATTGGATTCCAGACTCATTGGAGAATAAAGAAGCATGCATATTAATCACTTGGTAAGGCTTTTGGTAGAATTCTGGATTTGAACTGCTCTCTTATAACTAAAATCATATAGTATTGCAATTACTACTATACATACCAAAGATGGAGAGCAGTCACTTCTCCTGACCAATCTTGCATGTAAATTAAAATGTGGGCAAGAACATAACCAGCCAAGATATGCCTGAACACCCACAGGGGTAAATTAAAGTCAATCATAAACTGTAGGAATTTCACCTAAGCATCTGTTAGATGCAGCACAGAGCTCTGGAGTGGAAATGAGAACGGGGGGAGCTGTACACGGAGAGAATGGAAGGGTGAAGATGAAGGAAGGTTTTGTGTTAATAGAACCCTTTTCTTCTTAATTTTGTTAAATTAAAAATAACTTATTTGGCTTCTTTCCAAACTTGGCCAAGACACTTGGCTACAAGAGCAGTGCCTTAAAAAACTCTTTCATTTATAGCTGATTAAAAGTGGAGTCACTTTGGCATTTATTTGGCTCTTCGTATTCTAAAGAGGATAAGCTTCCTTCTCTTTTCTTTCCTAGATTGCTCTTAAAACAGGGGTTGAGGTACTTAGTTAAAAGAAAGAGAGGGAGGGAGGGAGGCAGGGAGGAAGGAAGGAAGGAAACCATGTATATTTTAAAATTTTTATTGCTTATTACGAACTATTACAGTTTCAGTATATTATGGTCTTGATTCGTCTGGCCTCTCTCTCCCCCTCTCTTTCTTCTCTCTCTTGCTTACTGCGTTGTCTGAGGCTCACTGTAGTTAGCACACACCAGTGCTTTTGGTTGTAAAAGAGGCTAAAAACTTTGAAATCTAGAGAATCCATTTATATGAACTAACCGATTTAATGTGGTTATAGATTAAACATCACAATACATATATTACTCCGTTTCGCTTTCACGTAAGCCTTTCAGATTACCTCCGCTTTTTTTTTTTAAATACTAAGTCTACATTTTTTTGTTCCATAAATCATTGGTATATGTGTGGATAAAGAAAGCATAAAAGACCGTGGAATTTTCTTGATAGAATTCAATTATTTCTTGGCTACTGTAGTGGAATATTTAAAAAGGCAACGTTGGGCTTCCCTGGTGGCACAGTGGTTGAGAACCCGCCTGCCAATGCAGGGGACACGGGTTCGAGCCCTGGTCCAGGAAGACCCCACATGCCATGGAGCAACTAAGCCCCTGCGCCACAACTACTGAGCCTGTGCTCTAGAGCCTGCGTACCACAACTACTGAGCCCGTGTGCATAGCCCATGCTCCACAACAAGAGAAGCCACTGCAATGAGAAGCCTCTGCACTGCAATGAAGAGTAGTCCCCGCTCGCCACAACTAGAGAAAAGCCCGCGTGCAGCAACAAAGACCCAACACAGCCAAAAATAAATTAATTAATTAATTAGTTTTTTTAAAAAAAGCTTTAAAAAGGCAATGTTGTAAAAAAAAAAAAAAGGCAACGTTGTAAGTGAGATGCACACACAACCGTCATTACCATCCCAGCCTTCCAAATCTGTAAAACACTTGCTGTATTTCTCAAAGATTGACCGTAACATGTTTTAGCTAGCCTGACTCATTCTATTCAAGGAGAAATGTCCCAGATTGTTAACAACGGGGTCTCAAAGAAGTGTAGTAGTATATTAATAGGATTTATCTAAAACTTTTTATTAGAAGTTTTACTTGCCTGTAGGCGATTTCTTTCAGGTTTGGGGCATGTGTTCATTTGCATGACAATGTTTTGGGTATATGAAATTAAAATTTATCTCATGGTCTGCTCTAAAATATCTAGGCCAGTATGTATGTAGGGTTTTTGGGAATCTTGGAGGTTACTGAAATCTGTAGTTATGTGTGCATACCCTGGCATATTATTGCATATTGGCAAAGATGATCTTTTGGGCAGCAGTAACTTATGCTAATGGGTTATTGTCCTCTGGCAGTAAGTTAGCAGGCTTTTTTGTACTATATAGCTAATTAATGAAATCCATAACTTCATTTGATAATTTACATAAAGTGAATTTTAAAATTTAGTATCAGCTTTATTAAGGTATAATTCACATGCCATCCAGTTCACCTATTTAAGATGTATAAGTCAAGGGTTTTTAGTATATTCAGAGCTGTGCAACCATAATCACAAATTAATTTTGGAACATTTTCATCACTCCAAAAAGAAACCACGTAACCTTTAGCAGTCATTTTCCATTTCCCTCCAGCTCCTCTTCTCCCAGCCCTAGGAAACCACTAATCTACTCTTCTGCCTCTCGGTTTGCCTATTCTGAACATTTCATGTAAATGGACTTTATATAATACATGGTCTTTAGTTTCTTTCAGTTCACGTAACATTTAAGGTTCATCAGTGTTGTCGCATGTATAAGTACCTTGTTACTGCCAGATTTTTGTTTTTAAGTTTATTTTGGTATTTTCTTTCCCCTAACTCCATTCTTGGTGTTTTCATTGTGAAATAAGCCCTAAGGTCTCTAATCGTAACTATTACGATTTCAGAGAGTAAACCAGTTCACTTCTCTAAGCCACAAAACAGTCATCTGCATGCTTTTGAGCATTTCCCAGTTGATCTCTATGTTACAAGACAGGAGTTTTTATTTTTTAACAGTGTTTTCACAAAATGTCATCTTAGCTACAGCCAGTGGCAAGCCACAGTGAACCAGGCTTACCATTGTGACTGCAAATTAGTTCATTGCAATATAGTTTGTACCAGTGGCTTTTTTTGTTTGTTTGTTTTTTACAAATAAAAAGAGTTTAGGTCATATTTCTCTATGCTTTCATTAGTGGTTCTTTACTAGGGAATACCTGTATATTATCAGAAAAAGAATTCCTAGTCCTCCCATCACATATGGATTTGTAAACATCAAATTGCATGAAAGATGAAGTTCTGTTATTAGCTTCAGAGTTTGCATGACTATTCGAGAAGATTTATATACTCTATGTTAATCTTGTTTGTTTGTTTGTTTGTTTTTGACTATGCATCTTCTTCAGGACCCTCCGAAAAATAATACGTGCAAAAGGTTGGTATTCCCTTAATAGATTTCCTTATGCTCAACATACTGTGTGGCAAAGAGGTTCTTCCATAAATATACATGTGTAACATAACTTAGAGTACAGTTTGACAGCTCATTCTTTTTTGGTCAAAATTATTACAAATTCAGTAGTTCCTTTGCTTTAGAAAAATTAATTTTTACAGTTTTAGTCATCTGAGTAATCTCAAAAAAGTTCTTGCCTTGAGTAATTTTTAAATCTTGTTGTGACATAAATTAGAATCACATGTAGTAAGAGGTAAGTATGCATGGACAAGTGCTACTGTTAATTCAGGCCCACAGTCTCTGTAGCTCAGCCAAGCTATGCAACTTCCACTAAAAACTTAATCTCAAAAAAAACCCAAAAAACTTAATCTCATTTAATCCTCACAACCACTCTGCACCTACCTTACATATTATAAATGTAATAATAAATGTAAAAATGTATTATTACATTTTACAGAAGAAAAAAATTGTGTATTGCAGTCATGTTCAGGAATGTGTGCTTCCTCAAAGGTTTACTTATCCCTTGCAGTAATGTTACTAACACAGTAGAATTAGCCCTGAAAGGTATACGTTTGTCATCCCTTAAGTGTCTCTGCTTGAGATAAGTGTAGAATCCTTGGCTTGTAAAAATTTATAGAGATTATATAGAGCTGTTTTATCTTTCTGAGATCCCACTTAAAGCATTTCATAGAGAGAAAATGTGTCTTTTTTTCCCATAAAAGTACCATGTCTTTTTTGTTTGAGGTGATGGACAGAATATTTTTAAAAAGTGGAAATTAAAGGAAACTGTTAGTAAATTCAGCTTTCTTAATATTAAGGATTTATGCTCATCCAAAAGCTCCATAAAGAATTTTGAAACAGGCCATAAACTTGCAGTAGACTTACACTACACTTAAAACTGACTAAAAATTACTATGTAGAATACATGAATAATTTTTACAAATCAATTAAAAAATAACTTAGTAGAATATGAGAAAAAGACTTAAACAAACACCTTACAGAAGAGGAAGCACAAATATAGGCATATGGGGAAAAAAAGGTTTAATTTCATTTGTCATCAGAGAGATGCAGATTAAAATCATAGGGTATATTTCACACCTGCCAGATTGGTGAAAATTTTTAAAAATTCTAAAAATAAGAGGCGTTGTTTAGGAAGTGTATTACCAATAATCTTAGGCCCTCTTTAGGGTCTTAGGGAGACGTAAATGGGTACAGTCCCTGTGGAAAACAATTTGACATTATCAAGTAAATTTGACAATATAATAACTTCTGACCCAGCAGTTGCATTTCTAGGGATATATACATACTCAAGAGAAATGTGTGTACAAGTATACCAGTGAACACGTACTAGAATGCTCACAGCAACATTATTCAAGATATTAAAATATTGGAAACAACCCAAATAACTATTCATTAGTAAAATGAATGAATTCATTCTGGGATATTCATATAGTGGAATACTTCAAAGCAATAAAAATAACTGAGTCACAACTACGTGCAATAACCTGAATAAATCTGAATGAAGAGAGTTCTGTATTATGGCCAGGAAGTTGTTGAATCTGTATCTCCTTTGGTGCAGTATAGGTGCATTTCCTCTGGTTCTGTTCTCAGTGGCCGTAAAGTTACAAAGGATTATATGAGGATTGGTGGTCAACCATTCTCAGTCTTGTGCACTGAAGACTTTATCTTCCGTGTTTTGAACTCTTTTGTTCCTTGTGGCTGCTCTGGAAGATATCTGAATTCATTACTCTCCTGGGGAGATTACTTTTTAAGTTTCCCTGTGCCATATTGCTGTTGTACATACTGACCAACTTGCTTGTGTCTTTAAACAAAGCTACCTGGCTGACGTTCTAAACTTGTCCAGAACAGCTTTCTGCCATACTTAAATGTACAAAGTGCTAGGCATGTTTAGGCAAAGAGAATCATTTTTATTATTGAACCTCAGCTGGCTTTTTGGGCTTCAAAGCCTTTTAATACCTAGACTGCATATGTCATAAGTGGAGGGGCAGCCAGGTCATTTGGATCATGGAAGAATTATACCTTAAAACTAGCAGAGCTAATAAGCTCTGTTAGAGAAGAAGGATCTTTTCAGCTGTGTGGCTTGCGGGATCTTAGTTCTCCAACCAGGGATTGAACCTGGGCCACCGCAGTGAAAGCGCAGAGTCTTAACCGCTGGACTGTCAAGGGAATCCCCAGGAAGGATTATTTTAAGGAGAATAATGACTGTCCTGAAACTCTGAGGAAAGTTTTTTACAGGACTTTTTAAGCCAACTACCATTTATTTAACTTTATTAGAACTATCAGTATGTTGTGTGTGTGCATGTGTGTGTGTCCTTATTAGTGTCTGAACTTAAGTAGGGATTAAGAGGATGGGAATCAGGATAGGAATCAGACTGCTTGACCAACTTCCCTTTGTGATTTTGGGTGCAAAGCTTGTATTTCATATATAAAATGAGAATAATAATACCTATTTCATAGGATTGTTGTGAGGATTAAATTTTAAAAATACATGTGGGGCAGATATAATATTCAACAGTTGTATCATTGGTTCTAAATTTATAATTATATACATAAAATGGTACTTTTTCATGCTCAAAGATGTTAATTGTAGAATATGTGAAAAAGCATAAAGAAAAATTTAAACTCTCCATAATCCTGTAACCCAGAAATAACCACTTTATGTCTTTGTGAAAATATATATACTGAGGTGTGTATGTATATATATTTTTGGTATTACACCATACATTCCATTTTTAATCCTTTTAAAATTATTGTTTAACTTCAATCCAGATCTTTGGATTTTTTTTTTTCCCCAAATAAAATTCTTTGCTATAAAAATATTAAAATGTGAAAAATGTTTAAAATATTAAAATGTGAATGTTGAAAGATAGGGTACATTTGATATGAAATGTTCACAATTTTATTGCTTCTCCCCCCTACCCTCCCCCCCAAACGTCTAGCTACTGGTCGTATTGGATCTTCCCCATCGTAGGTGCTATTCTCTTAGGTTTTCTGTATCGTTACTACATGGCGGAGAGCAAGTCCTCCTGAGGAGACCTTGTTGAAGTCTGGAAAGCACATCTACTTGGGAGTGAGAACTGGACACTTGTTTGGAGGCTGCAGCGGTGCCCTCTTCTCGAATCCTGCCAATTGTATTCTTCTCCCTCGGACCCCAGACTGTTGGCCAGACATCCGCCTCAGCCCTGGGGCCAGTGTCCAAGTCATTTCTCAGAGCCTTACTCTCAAAGCACCTGCTCATTGTGTCCCTGCCTTTGTTTCCTCTCTTTACTCTTTTCCACGAGCACCTTTATGTTTCAGAACTTTCTTTTATATGTATAGTCTACGGATTCTAGTGACATTGCCCTTTGGTAAAATTGCCTGCTTCCCAATACTTTGAATGCACATTAGACATACTTAACAGGGCATCACACTCTGGTTTTGAAGCTTTTCTTTTTCCCTTTTTCTTCTAAGTAAATATTATTTTAAAAATTATGACTTAATTATCATAAGAGGTTTAATTCATGAAGTCAGGTTGCACACCTGCGACTTAAAACACAACTGCAGAATGATCTTGTTCCTTGTTTTTATTTGTTAAAACTGAGTGTAGCAGGGAGCCCTTGCCACCTCCTAAGGCCACCAAATGGTGCTGGGCAGAACTCTGCTTCCCATTTGTTTATGGGGAGTGGAGAGAAACAGGGAGAGGAAGAGATGAATTGGGGTGATAGAGTGAATTCACAGTAATCTTTCTTTTGAAAAAATTGAAAAACACTACTTTTAGGACAGGAGTTTAGAAAAAGCACCAAAAACTTTATCCTTTACTTTGGCACCAGTTCCTAGCCATCTTTTTTCTTTTCTTTTTTTTTTTTAAACCCCTTACCATCTTGTATTGGTAAAATATAAATTTATAAGTATGTGTTTAGAGCTTTACAGTTTTGTTGAAGGATTTTGCTCTCTTTTTGTTTATCAACTGGCAATTTTTTATTCCCCTTTTTACAGAAGAGACTCCAAATTGATCAAAGGTACAGTATTTAATCTTCTGTTTGCCCCAGTAAAATAACTCCCGTGGTAAAGCGGCATTCAGAGGGGGTAGATCGGGACAAGAGAATGTTTTCCATTTCATGTGTATTTTACCTCCATGGCTCCAATTTGTAGTTTTGTTGTTTTTTCCATTGAGAATAAAAAACTGGTAGTTTTTTTTTTTTTTCTCAGATGACTGTTTCATTGAGGAGAAGGTTATTATTTAGAGTTATGTTACTGTTTCTCCTTGGTTCGGACTTTCTCTGGTGTATCCGACTGCTTTTTTCCCCCCCGTGGAAGCACCTGAGGAGGCCGTCCACTGGGAGTTTTCTGCCGACAACTGTGGTGATTTTTCTTCCCATCCTTTGAGGATGACCAGTCTACTCTGAGCCATCGTCACATGCAGCAGGAAGCAGCGTGGTCCAGGAGGGACCATGGGCACTGCTCTGTATCCTCCCCTATTCCTGCTTGCCAGGCACTTGACAGGACAGGAAGCTACACAGCACACCAGTGTCTGCCCATGCAAACTATTTAAGAAAAAGTTCAACCCAGGTCTTGTATCCTGTGATTTAGCAGTTGAGTGAATTCACAATTTGTAAAAATCATGTTAACCTGCTAATCGCACACTTGGTTATGACATTATGGAGAAATTTTAGGGGCTTTCTGGCTGACTTTTATATGTCAGGGATATGGGTAAATTTTTTAAACATATCTTTTTTTTTTTTTTTGATGTGGCCCATCTTTTAAAGTCTTTATTGAATTTGTTACAATATTGCTTCTGTTTTATGTTTTGGTTTTTTGGCCACAAGGCATGTGGGATCTTGGCTCCCCGACCAGGGATCGAACCTGCACCCCCTGCATTGGAAGGTGAAGCCTCAACCACTGGACCGCCAGGGAAGTCCCTAAAACTTATATCTTTAGAAAATGTTTTGTATGTATTATAAGATGCCAGTGTAAGACAATTTTTTGAAAGAAAAATCTTTGGTTATTGTGTAACAGAGGTGGTGTGACTTGATGCTCCTCCAGGAAGGCAAGGAAGGGTTGCCTTGAATAAGAATTGATATATAATTGCTGTAATCATTAAGTTGCATGATCACATGGGCCCACACTGGGGTAGAAAAGAAGAACAAAGGAGTATTGAGGAGCTGGAAAGGGAACATTCAAGCTAAAACTAAGCCAGAAGATAACTTGGGTCAATTAAAAGTGCGTTGGCAGTCCCCAAAATTGAATGAAAAACATCTGGCTTAGAAGAAATGTTAAAGAACGATATTCTTAAGTAAAATTTGTGTTTTTTTGATATTTTTAGGGTAAAGACCAATGCAAAAGGTATGTTTTTCTATTTCATATTGGTTGTCTTTTCCTGTTTATATCTGGACTTGTTTTTGTTCAGAGCCAGAGGAAAAGATTTTCAGACTTTGTCTCAGCCATCCATGAAATCCATCCAATACCCAGGGCTTCTTTTGATCGCCTGCTAATATCATGTCACTTTGTATTATAAAAACCACTTTTGGGTCCATTTACTATTATTCTGCTGCCTACATAAACAACCAGGTAGAGCTTGTGTGAGTTTGCAGAGGTTTTTTTCTAAACAATAAAGTAATATAGTATGTTAACCGAATCCATCAAAAAGCACTTTTGTTTTAAGAAGTAGACAGGAATTCTCGAAACAGTTTCGACATTGGTGAGTCGTGAAAACCCCTCTGGAGAGACAGTGGAGCCAGTCCCTGTTGGCCAGCCGGGCCTCCTAGGATGTCTCTGGGGTGTTTGGTTGTTTATTCCCAAGGAAGGCTCACTGCTGCTGCTCACCATACTGTACACATAATGGCTGGAGAGCACAAGAGGAGGAGATGAGGGGAAATTAGTGCCCCCAAAATAGGGATGTTAGTGCTGGGTCCCAAAATTTCCTGCCCCTGTCTCTCAGGAATTGGTTTTGGTTTCCAAATGACTTACATTTGTAAAGACAGGAACGTGGTATGGATAAAGTTTATACTGTGTTTAGTTCTAATTTGACCACTTAAGCAGCAACAAAAATGCATTGGAACCTATAATTTGAGCCGTAAAGTTCTTTCAACCGTTGTCACAAATCCACATGTTGTGAAATAAGAATATTGTTGAGTATATACTCAGTTCCCAAGTGAAGCAGTGAAAAATGCTTTACAGGCCAGATATATCATTACTTACATAGTATCTCATGCTTAAAATCTTAACTGATGCCTATCTGATTAAATTCCATTTTAGAAATGCAGAACTTTAATGTTCATTACTTCCTTCTCCAGGAGGAATGGATTCAGACATGTCTGAACAGGAGATTGATCTTTTTTTTTTTTCTTTTCTTTTTTTAACCATCTCGTTCTTTTGCCAAATACCACAGAAGTAATGGGAAGTTTAGTCACATTTGATGGTTGTGCCCTGGAAGAGCTTGGGTTTAGAATTTGTGGGGGTGATCTCAAAGGGAAGTTTCAAGAAGCAGAGAGGTATTTGTCAAGTCACCTACCCTACATCTAGCATCCCACTCATGAATTTTAGGAGCTGCTTTGTGCCTACACCTATATTCTACATTTGCTATTTAGGCAAAACATTATTATGATTATTTAATTTCCTTTTGACTTCACCCTCTGAGCAAGTAATATTAACATTCCTTTTGTGTATTCAGTAATGAAGTTTGTTTACCTATTTTATTTCAGCATATTTTGAACAAAGATCTTTGTCTCTTTCTGCTGGAATGTGCACACAGTGAATGTTTGTTAGAACTACACACAATAAAGATACTGTTTTCCTTTTCTCTCCTTGACTACAGTTATTTTTTTTTTTTTACATTTATTTAGCTTTGCTCTTATATTTTATTTTTTGGCTGCGTTGGGTCTTCGTTGCTGTGTGCAGGCTTTCTCTAGTTGTGGCGAGTGGGAGCTACTGTTCGTTGCAGTGCACAGGCTTCTCATTGCGGTGGCTTCTTTTGTTGCAGAGCACCGGCTCTAGGCGCGCGAGCTTCAGTAGTTGTGACACGTGGGCTCAGTAGTTGTGGCTCGTGGGCTCTATAGTGCAGGCTCCATAGTTGTAGCACACGGGCTTAGTTGCTCCACAGCATGTGGGATAGTCCTGGACCAGGGCTAGAACCCGTGTCCCCTACATTGACAGGCGGATTCTTAACAACTTTGCCACCAGGGAAATCCCTACAGTTATTTTAAAAAAAAAAATTTTTTTTTTTTTTAATAGAAATGTTGGTCCTGTAATTCTCAGGTGTTCTGGAAGAAAAGAATTTGAGAAGCATAAAAGTCACCTGTATCTATGCTACTACTGGGTTTAGTGTAACTGGATGGGGGGTTCTGCAGTTTTCAGGATTCTTACTGCTGCTCTTTCCTTGACGTGAGTTGCGCGTTTGATAATCCTGAGAGGCAGAAATCAAGACTTTTGCTGTATTAATGGATGTGAAGTGGCAACCAGGTAGACAGGTTTGGAGTTCTGTTTTTACTGAAACCATCTGGTAAAGAGAAGCCAGTTCAAGGTAATAATATGTTGTTATCTGTAATGCCAGTCTTCAAATGGTTGTTTTTCTTGGAAACAGCTAAACTGTTGGGGAAAATTAAACATTGAGATCGAAGTTCTAGTGACTATGTTAATAAAACAAGGTAAATAAGCCATTTGTATAATTACCTTTAAAACATACTGATAGCATTCCACCCTAAGCAATGAGACATCGTTCCTTAGGGCTTGGTTATTTCACTATCACATGAATTGAGGATTACTAACAGGAAAGAAAAGTCCCATTCTTATTACTAGTGTTTGAATCTAATGTTTAACCTTCAATCATAATAATTCACATCACTCTTCCTGATGCTGAGTATTTAGCAGGTACTTGACAAATCCTGGTTGATTCCTGAAAACTTGAGGTCGAAGATTGTCATTTCAACTATGTAAATTTAAGGTAAGAAACACCTTACCTTAAATTAAGAAACAAATAAAATGCAAATACAAATGCTGTTTGTTACAAGTGTGACAAGTGGCATTTTTGATCCATCAGTGCCAGTCTCAGAGCCGTTTCCTATTGTTTGTTCCTGGTTCTAATCTCTGTGACTGAAACACCATGGACCTGGAAAGAGAAAAATTTTTAAACCCAGGTTCCTGAATTTCATTTTTCTTTAGAGAAGCTTACTTTTGGGATCTTTTTTTTTCTAGTTTCCTCATCGAAGTTTTTCAGAAAAGGAGGTGGCATTACTTACAAAACAATAGGATGATGTCCACAATAAAAACGAATCTTCTCACAAACCTGCCCACTCTGATTTATTACCCAAGAAATCTAATAAGGAGCAGCACAGGTAAATGAGCTTTCTAAGACTTCCAATGTGACCTGCTTTTTCTTTTCTGAATCTTTTGTTTTAGGTGTTTTTTGTTTGTTTGTTTTTAGTTTTTGGATTTTTCCTACACTCATTCTGCTCCATCTTGCCCCTTTAAACTGTATACTCTGTCTCATGGTTTACTAATAAGTGACACCTTAGCCACGCTTCTCTTCATTTTTAAGTATTATGGTCCAAAAATGTACCCACTAGCCTGTTGTGGAAAACATTTGGAAGAAATTAAGCTGATTTGCTTTTAAGCCAGACCATGCATGTAAACTAGTGCAGTTCTGTTTGAACATCTTTATTAACCTTCATTTAGGGCTAAAAGTCTACCACTGGACCTTTCATGTATGAGTCAGTAAATTTGCTTTTTGTCTTAAGCTAGTTCAGATTTAGTTTCTAAAACATATCCTAACTACAGTGGCCTCTGCAGCTTACCTGACCTTAAAATGCCTGCCTTGGTAACAAAGGGTTCTGCCTCTCCAAGTATACCTAAGCTCTCATAGGGCAGAGACTCATTTTTTTATTCTGTGCTAAGTCTCTTTGCAAAGAAGAAATATTCTTTACTTTAAAAAGATACACACTCATTATTTTTGTCATAGAATAAGATACCTAAGTAAGGAACCTATTTAAGCTAACAGGTAAAAGGGAACTTAACTTGTTATGAATCAGTTATGAATGAGCATCTGATGGAACTCAGGGTTAGGAAGTACAACTGGACCTCATGAGAACTAGGACCAGGAGTCAGAAGACCAATAGGAATCAAGGTGGCTACGTTAGTTTCCAGTCCAAACCTCTTATGGAAATTAATTCTTAGAAGTGAGAATGTAATTGGCTAGACAGTGTCAAGAGTATC